GGTGCAACTAGCGGAAGTTGTGTATCTACTTCCGGTGGATCAGAACGTTCTGGAAGAATTAGAAAAATTATGGTAATTTCCCAGATAAACAGGCCGGATCATCAGACACGCCAACTGAACCGTACTAAGGAGTATTAAAGGCTCGTTACATCGCTTCAGAATTTTTTTACATAATATTTTTAGGCTCATTTATCTAATCAAACTGTCATATTAGTTAATTAAGAGCGGACGATGTGACCCATGCATTTCTTCTCCCCCCAACTCTCCCCCGTTCTCTCTCTCTTTCTCTCTCTCTCCCTCTCTCCTCTCTGTCTCTCTCTCTCTCTCTCTCTCTCTCTCTCTCTCCTCTCTCTCTCTCTCCTCTCTCTATATATATATATATATATATATATATATATATATATATATATATATTATATATATAGCTTCTTTTTACTTTCGTTGTCTTGGGTCAGATAATGATCACAATACAGTAGACTCGGGATGTCTCTGACGGAAATCATCCCGGAAACAGTACCCAATACTTCCGGGTTAGCAGTTAGAAATCGTCCGATTATATATTTTTTATGGTAGCTCAGAGGATGTGACCTCTGGGACTCGAACCCACGCTGTTGTGGGGCACCCGGCAATTGGAATGTTCGGTTTTTATTATCTGGGATTTATTTTGCATGTCATGAATAGAATTTGTGCGTAATTTTAAGAACTTTTTATATAAAAAAACATAGGGCAGAAATTGATTTTATTAAAAAAAAAATAGATTTTACATAATTAAAATAGATTCAGCGAAACATAAACTGGTGTTAATTTATCGAGTAATTTTAAGATCGCCGAAATTTAAATTTGGCATCATATGTACACTATATATGGCTATACCGACATTAAGAAAACGATTCGGATTAGAAATAAAGTCGTTTTAAAGGTCAAGTACTTGGAATTAAATCGGTTAAATGGTAGGGTGAGCAGATTTTAGGTCAAAGTTAAGTTCGAGGCGGCAGGATATGGTCCTAGGACCTTTGACCACAGGTGCTTTGACCATAGGGGGTTTGACCATAGGGGGTTTGACCACAGCGGAGCTTTGACCATAGGGGCTTTGACCATAGGGGGTTTGACCACAGCGGGCCTTTGACCATAGCGGTGCTTTGACCATAGGGGGTTTGATCATAGGGGGTTTGACCATAGGGGTTTTGACCACAGGTGTTTTCTCAGCAGAGGGTCTTTGATCACAGGTGGTCTATCAAAGGGTGTTTGATCACAAGCGCTGCGTCCGGCTTTGATCATAGGTGTTTTGTCCACATAGGGTCTTTGATCTCAGGTGGTTTGTCCAATGCTGTCCATATATGGTAAGGATTTATTTTAAAAGTTGCTAAATTATATTTTAAATTTCGACATGATGTAATAATATGTTAAATCATCATGTATAAATACAAGTCATCTAAAGTACTCTATGTCAAAACCATGGAGAATCTTGGAGAGTATAGCACGTCGAAAAAAGGTAAAAGAACTTTGTTGTATCGTGGCCGCGAGTTTTGGTTTCACAGAGAACGCCAGGACGGGTCACGCGTTTGGCGGTGTACGAAGAATCGCACTTGTAAGTGCAAAGCTTCAATAGTTGCACAAGATCTTGTGATTATAGGAGAGCAGATTTCTTAACATTCACACGAAGGAAACATATGGTCAAACAGATGTACTGACATATTTGCGTGCTATAGCACATCTGTCATTCAGTTAACCATTTTATGTATTACATCTTTGACTATATTGTTGGCAAGTTTTGTATCATTTTTTATCCTTTATATATGCTATGTATTTTCAAGTACATCTACATTATTTATTTGTGAAACTTGTTATATGTCGCATTATTTGTGTTTCATTTATATTATAAATAAATCTATGAGGCCTAGCACCAGCCTTTATGTGGAGACTAAAATATAGTTCTTGGCTTTTTTTAAATACATGTAAATAGCTACTCTCAGGAAACATGTATAAAATCGTGTTACTTGTATCACACCTATGATCAAAGCCGGACACAGCGCCTGTGAACAAACACCAGTTGATAGACCACCTGTGATCAAAGACCCCCTGCTGAGAAAACACCTGTGGTCAAACCCCCTATGGTCAAACCCCCTATGATCAAACCCCCTATGGTCAAAGCACCGCTATGGTCAAAGGCCCGCTGTGGTCAAACCCCCTATGGTCAAAGCCCCTATGGTCAAAGCTCCGCTGTGGTCAAACCCCCTATGGTCAAACCCCCTATGGTCAAAGCACCTGTGGTCAAAGGTCCGCGCACCCAGGATATAGTGACTCCGTTATGTCCAATTCTAAGTAAAGAAAATCAAAACGAGATGTAAAACCAATTCTAAGTAAAGGAAATCATAAGTAGAGATGTAAAACCAATTCTAAGAAAAGGAAATCATAAGTAGAGATGTAAAACCTATTCTAAGTAAAGGAGATCATAAGTAGAGATGTAAAACCTATTCTAAGTAAAGGAAATCATAAGTAGAGATGTAAAATTTAATACATCATGAGTGGATGAGTTAAAGTGCAGGCAACTATTTGGTCTTTACCAAGTTCCTCTCAAGAAGGTCAACGTGCTGCCCACTATAATGTTTTTGTACCAAGTCCCTCTAAAAATGGCTAAAAAGCTACCCAATATACATATGTTCTTTACAATAATGTCGTTGACCGAAAGGTTTAACGTGCTTCTAGTAAAATATGTTCTTTATGCCAATGTTGTTGGCCAAGGTCCTCTTAAAAGGGTTAAAGTTCTGTCTCTATAAACATATTTTTTATACCAATGTCGTTGACCTACGTCCTCTCTAAAGGGCTAAAGCTATGCCCACTATAAGTATGTTCTTTAGGCTAATGCTAGTTGACCAAAAGGGCTACATGTCTGCCCACTATAAATAAAATAAATATGTTCTTGTGGCTAATGTTTGTTTACCAAAAGCTTTAAAGTGCTGCCCACTATAAATAAAATAAATATGTTCTTTAGGCTAATGTTTGTAGACCAAAAGCTTTAAAGCTCTGCCCACTATAAATAAAATAAATATGTTTTTTAGGCTAATGTTTGTTTACCAAAAGCTTTAAAGCTCTGCCCACTATAAATAAAATAAATATGTTCTTTAGGCAAATGTTTGTTTACCAAAAGCTTCAAAGTTCTGCCCACTATAAATAAAATAAATATGTTCTTTAGGCTAATGTTTGTTTACCAAAAGCTTTAAAGCTCTGCCCACTATAAATAAAATAAATATGTTCTTTAGGCTAATGTTTGTAGACCAAAAGCTTTAGGCTAATGTTTGTTGATCGAAAGGTTTAAAGCTCTGCCCACTATAGATAAAATAAATATGTTCTTTAGGCCAGTGGCGTAGCCAAGATCGTCTCAAGGGGGGGGGGGGGGGGTGTTCCAATTTTTACCCGGGGACAAACTTTCGATTTGCACCCCCCCCCCCTCAAACTTTTGATTTGCATACCCCCCCCCTCATACTTTTTCTATATACCGAGGGGTCTATGGGGGGGTTATGACCCCCCCTAACCCCCCCCCCCCCTTGCCTACGCCACTGCTTTAGGCTAATGTTTGTTGACGAAGATCCGTTCACAAAACATCAACAATTTTTCCATCACCCGACATGGGAGACAAACCAGGTTATTACCGTCTGTCACGAACCGCTCCCTCTACACCGTAAATTGACGTCTGATAGAGCGTGCGGGGCTCCGCCAGCAGACGACACTACATAATTACCTCACTCATAAATGGGAGAATGCCACCCGCCATGTTGGGCGTCCATCTTGTCTCGCTGTGACGACACTTAAATTTCAACCACTTCCTACCCTTCGTGCATCACGCTAATCTTTGGGGAGAATATATTTTTAAAAACATGGACGGGAAATAAATCGAAAACAAAATGGAGTTGGCTTGGTCGTCGAGGCCGACGGAGACGAGGGGTGGGGACAGACGAGGTGGGGGAGCGACGGAGGAGCGGGACGGGAGAAGGGGGGCAGGGGGAAAAAAGAAAATTTCAGGACGCGGGGCAATTTCCAATTTCCCCGGAAATAGCTTGTCACGTGCTATTGTATCACGTGTTTTTGGGTAATAGATTACAGTAATAGATTTAGTAGATTGGTTTAGTTACTGGTGGTATAGACAATACAGACACGATACATATATATAGATTTCAGTAATATATTTAGCAGAATGGTACAGTTACTGGTGATATAGAGTAGACAATAGAGACACGATACCTATGTTCAGAGGCGTAGCGGGGGGGGGGGGGTGCAGACCACACCAGGTGACACCATTAAGGGGGGTGGTTGACACAAAAAAATAGCAAAACATATAGAGAAAAATGATAATTCCACTTAACTAGATGATTAATTCGAGTGTTAAATAGTGTTTTAAGAGGTGCAAATCGAAAGTTTGATGGGGGGGGGGGGGGGGGAAGGGGTGCAAATTGAAAATTGAAAGTTTGTCCCCGTGAAGGGTCGCTACGCCTCTTGGGGGGGGGGGTGACACCATTAAGTGCTGCACCGGGTGCCACTCGACCTCGCTACGCAACTGCCTATATTGTTATCTATTTGTGTATGCCTATATATATATATATATATATATATATATATATATATATATATATATATATATATATATATATATATATATATATATATATGTGTGTGTGTGTGTGTGTGTCTGTGTGTCTGTGTGTGTGTGTGCGTGCGTGCCAGTGTGCGCGCGTACAATAAGTATAAGATGTTCTGACTATAGCTTGAATATCCACTAACAATACGGTTCAAGTAGTAGAATCAGGGTTGGTTAGGGGCAACTTAGTGTTATTTTCATATAGCTGGCGCATTCTTATAGTATACATTAGGTCAAATGTTTCAAAATACGCCTTATTTAAAACTAAGCAAGGATTTTGGGTTAAAAGATGTATCACCAGCAAGGCAAGAACAAACAAAAAATTAAACATTCTTCTAACTGTCCACCGTTGTCGCTTTAATTCCAGTACATAGCCCTCAAGTTCTGGAAGTCGACCGGTCTCCTCTACGCCATCCACAACAAGGAGAGGGACATGATCGAGACCCTCAACCAGGAGTTCTACTTCTACGAGGGTCAGGACAACGTCGGGAGGAACTCAGGGGCGTATGTCTTCAGACCCAAACACCCCACCACCAAACGTGTGGGACTGGACGCACCTGTCACAGTTCGTGTCGTCAAGGTGAGCGGTTAAAAGTGTATGGTACTCTTCCGTTGTTGAGTAAAATATACTCGGATCGACTTTTGATTATTCAAACTATTCCACATACGAATCCTAGAATGAATGGACGGTAAATTATACTCTGTGGGTGGCGGTTTGGTCGGGTTGATTAGCGTATGATTGCTAAACAAGAGGTTGTAGGTTCGAACTCCTATTCAGATAAGTCTTGTTAGAAAATCGTCTAGGATAACAAAAATGCTAAATTATGGCTTAAACGATGTTCTTAGGTGGAAAAAACCTATGAAAGCAAATCTATGGGTCGTAATGTGCATAACGTGTTGGCATGAAATAGAGGCAGCGTGGTCGAATGGTAGAGCGTTCGGCTGCTAACTTCTCGGAACTGCAGGAAGTCTTAATTCCACTCAGCACTTGAAGGTACCTGACTCACGATGGGGAAAGTAAATGTGGCTGGACATAGTGCTGACCACACCATCATTTCATATGCCTAGGACAAATACCTTATGATGGGGGAATTTTACTTTTACCTTTATACAGACTTGTAATACATAACAATACCGGGAAATGTAGTCAGCCTCGCCCCCCCCCCCCTCAAAAGTTTCAATTGTACCCGGCAAAAGAAAATTCTGAAAGAAACACTTCTTGGGGAAGGGATGTTCGGATTATATAATGGAAAAGAAGACACGTGTAAATGTATTTTTATTGGGTATTTAAAAATCTCAATACGTAATTATTTATTAATTCTTTTTTAAGTTTTAGACAATTAAGAATACGCCTAACATATTTTACTTATGTAGTAGACACTATTACCCAAAGACTTATATAATTATTGCATTTTCATCAAACCAAGTTAGCAAACATTAGTTAAGGTGGAGAGATGGTAGTGAGCCTACTATATCCTTTCTATGATTGCTGCTAGTACACTTCCCTTTCAAAGTAAAAAAAAAAACAACTCATTGTTCATGAATTTAATTAAAGATTTTTACGTTTCGATTAAAACTGCTGAATATTCTAGACGAGAGAATGTTAAAAATAAATTGATTGGGCCCTTATCCTTTTGTCTGCATCTTATAAAAAAAACTATTTTAAATGCAGCAATCGCTTCATTTACGTCAAGACAATTTAATGAAATAAAAATAAAATATCCAGATAATGGATATCTATTTAAAGAAACACATCAATCGAAAACGTGTTTTTATACCGACTTGCATAGTTCCAAACGTCGGGGAAAAATTTAATTCTGTTTTTGGAATTCACTGTCGACGAGTTCATGTCATGGTGACCTTTGAACTTACCGCAAAAAAATTATAATAATCGCGGAAATGTATACAACAGAAGCTTATGTGTTGGGCATGTGGTAGCATGTGAACTTAGTACAGTAGCTTGCAACAAATAGTGGGGCTTGTAAAGACCATACATGTGCTTGCAGAATACATTAAAACTGCTTTAGCATTCATCAACAATAATGCTGGTGTGTGTACCAACAGTGATGAAGCATACATCAACAATGCTGCAGCATGCATTTACAAACGTGCTACATATATCAACAATGGTGCACCATACATCAAGAATGCTGTAGCATACATCAGTAATGCTACAGCATCCATTAATAATTATTAATGGTACAGCATACATTTACAATGCTGCCGCATACATGAACAATGCTACAGCATACATTAACAATGCTACAGCATACATCAATAATGCTACAGCATACATCAACAATGCTACAACATATATCAACAATGCTACAGCATACATCAACAATGCTACAGCATACATCAACAATGCTACAGCATACATCAACAATGCTACAACATATATCAACAATGCTACAGCATACATCAACAATGCTACAGCACACACCAACAATGCTACAGCACACACCAACAATGCTACAGCACACACCAACAATGCTACAGCAGCACTTGATGTATGGGATAACAACGTGAACACAACAATCAATATGAGAAAGGGAAACAGAAATGTCTTTGTCACCAGCACAAGACGGATGTCTTAGAGATAGTTCTAAGGTTTCACGTCATCACTAGTGAGATAGGAGAAAGGTATAGGGGGGGGGGCGTGGTGAGGAAAGAAGAAAAATAGGAGAAGTAGGAAGATAGAGGAGATGGCGGAAAGGTGGAAAGGAGGGGAGAAAAATGGCAAGAGGGGTTGGAGAGGTTGGAGTGACGGAAAAAGGAAGATAGATGATGTGAGAGGGAAGGGTAAAGAGATGGTTAGAGGTAGGAAATATGGGTAGAAGAAGATTGCGTGGTAGGGGAATAAGTTAATGCAGAAAGTAAAGTTATGAGTAGAAACCAGATAGAATGAAAGCTTGATAGATGAGGAAGACGACGATGGTGGGAGAAGATACAAGAGTTAGGGAGAAACAAGGAAGAGCGGAAAAGGCAAATAGGAGGAAAGGGGAGATTATTAGGAGAATGGGGAAATAGGTGCAAGAGGAGCGATGTTAAAGGGGATACAACAATATTTGAACCACGTACAATAGTAAATAAGTATTGTATACACCTGGTTTTTGCGGAATTTTTAGCTATTTTTTGTGTGTTTAAAACAAAACTTTGCTGTCAAGAAATTGTGTTGATTATAGGCAACAACTGTTGGAGCAAGCACACTGAGGGGTCGTCCATAAATGACGTCACACTAGTAGGGGGGAGGGGTCCGTAATGTTTTTGACGGTTGGGGGGGGGGGTCAAATGGTGTGACGTCACACTTTTGCATTATAAAAAAGCAATGTTTTAGCCGTTATTTCGCGTTTTAGAAAACGGTTTTAAGAAAGTGTAATAGGAATTGATCGAAATACTCTATGTTGACAGAGTTCTGACAAGATTTTGCAAAACTATCGATGTTTTAAGAAAAATTCAACAGCAATTTTGAGTGGGGTTGTAGGCTGAGGGTGTGACGTCGACGACGTGTGACGGAGGGGAGGGGGGGAAGGTAAAAATCGTCCAAAAAAGCGTGACGTTATTTATGGATGACCCCTGATTTAATTTTCACGATTTTCGAAATGAAAGTTAAAATATACAGAAATTGAAAACAAAAACTAAAAAAAAAATTAAATTAAGATTGCGTTTGATTCAAAAGTTAAGTTGTTTAAAAAACCGTTAGCATTTTATTTTTACAAAAATATGGTATTTTTTAAAATAAATTCTAAAGATAAAAGACAGCATATTTTTAAGTCTAACTTCCTGTTTTTCCAGGGACCACTTGTACAGGAAGTCCATCAAACTTTTTGTCCGTGGGTTTCTCAAGTCGTCCGCTTGTACAAGGGAGCTAAATACGCTGAATTTCAGTGGATCGTTGGACCTATTGATACCGAGTAAGTTCTTATTGATATTATTCCACAATTTAAATATGCATGCGCGAGTCTTATTTGCTGTTATATCCGTCTAGACTGCCGGGAGAGCTTGATTTATTATTAGCTTTTAATGATATTCCCAAATTGAGTGAATTTAAAGAGCCTACTTATTTTGATATTTAATTTTATATCTAGATCTATTATTCATCTACTAAGAATAAATGAGAAACAAAAATCATTTGAATGTTTAGTATTGCGCATAAGAAACTGACAGTCAGTAGCTTAAATAATATCTATTAATCCAACGATAATTTTAAAGCTAGCTCTAACGGTAATTCACGGCATTAACCTAACGAAAATTCTACCGATATTTATATCGATATTTCGATCAATAATTCTAATACTTGTCAAAAAATAGTGTACACATGTCATATAACAAGAAGGGAAGTGGGTGGCTTATCAGTTTATTTTACTGTATTATACTTAAGGGAGGCTGTATATCACTTTTTAAAATTGTATTTATATAATTTCTCTCATTAGATTAGTTTAATGGTCAGCTGGGAGACTCAGGCTCATATCAATGTTATATGGAATGATATACGAAATTGAATCGTCTAAAATGTTATATTTTTGTTTTATAAAAAAATTTAACACTCCTTAAATATGTGGGAAAATAGAATTTTCTAAAATATACGGTAATGTAGCATATCTTATAAGAACCTCAAATGAATAGTCCTATATCTTTAGCGTGCCTAGCTTGTCACCAAAAGCAACTATCTAATTTGATAAACTGTGTGTCTGTGATTGTCAGCAAAAGCAGCTGTATCTAATTTGATAAACTGTTTGTCTGTGACAGAGACGGTCAAGGGAAAGAAGTTGTCTCCCTGTTCACATCCAACTTACAGAACGACAGAATTTTCTACACGGATTCTAATGGCCGAGAGATGCTGGAGCGAGTGTGAGTACTTCTTGTTTTTTCATACAACTGCGTGAGCATGGAACCAGCACGTGCAAGGTATAATTACTAGTGTGTGAGAACTTGGCTAACTATGTCAATAGGTCAGGTATATGACAATGTCAGCTTCCCATTAGCCTAATGGGAAGTTCACATCTAATGGCATTAGGTCATAGGGACAGAAGCACTATTTGAACGTTCTTTAGATGAACTTTCCACGCGGTCAAAAAGGTGAATTGAACATGTGAAGTTTTCACTAGGTCCTGTAATGATGGAGTAATTCTCCATTAGATCATGTCATGTGTATGTATCCGAAAACCTCCACGTTATGTTAAACGATCTCTTCTATAAAATGCGAACCTGTAATTATATCATAAGGTCCCCATGTCCTATTCAAGTATCTGATTATGTCAAATTCAGAGGGTGTAACCTATTGGTAGAGAGCTAGACTAAAACGTATTTTTTAAAATTAAGGTCGTACAATAGAATGCAATTTCACTCCTTTCCTCAAGGGTAAAGCAATAAGCTAAACACCCTTTAAAAATCTTCAAAAGAATATGGTAATGGCATCTAGTCAGCCACGGAGTGGTCTAGCGGTAGAGAGCTGGACTGCTAACCCGTAAGTCTCGAGTTAGAATCCGGGTTCAAGTAGTAGACCGTCCCTGAGTCCACCCAACTCTGATGGGTACTTAACTCACTTTAGGGAAAGTAAAGGCGGCTGGGCATAGTGCTGACTACACTATCTCTTCATATGCCGAGGTCACAGAAACAAGTGAACTTTACTTCACTTGCCCCATAAACCGTAAGGTTTGAAAAGGGAACTTTACTTACTTACTTATCTAGTCAGCCGTCATATGCAAATACGTCTACGCCATGTTGGTCTTCCTAAGGGGTGTCACTTTTACTCACTACACATTGTTTACATTCAGAACAAGTGGCAACAAAAGTGTAACATTACATTGTGTTATGTTTTATCATTAACATTTTTTTTAAGTAGCCGGCTCCAAAACAGTATTTCTTTGTTCCCTATTCCTCTTATGTCTAGACCGGTGGTTCTTAACCTTTATGAAGGTACCAGACTCCAGTAGTTTCCTATGCGCATTCATCGAACCCTTCTTAATAGGTCTATCGTCCTCACTGACAAAATCCGATTTTGAATCATATTGACCTTCCCTGAACACCTGAGACTGACTCAACGAACCCTCAGGGTTCGATCGGGTTCAATCAAACCTATGTTTAAAAAGAAAAACTGATCTAGACATAATGTATTTCGTCATTTCAACAGGAGTAGAGCGCTAGCCAATTCGATCCATTCTTAAAGACATTTAGTCTAGAGAAGGTCAAGACTATAAACAAACAAAAAAATGAGGTTATAAAAAAGTATAGATGCAATGACATAATGTTAAAAGATCTGCGTATTGATTACACTGGCAGATACCTCAGATAAGCCAGAAACAAAAACGCGCGAGATAGAAAGAAAGTAGGACTAAAAATAAACATACGTCGGAACGTAATCGGAAATATCCAATTTCGCTAATAGGGGGATTTGGTTTCTATTTTTAGTCAGCCAGTGTCTTCGTATTTGCCGTGTAATGACGGGTTTAAACAGACGTCAAACAAAATATCCCCGGGACATGATTATCAGTCAATTTTCTGAGCCGCTACTGTATGATCAATACACGCACACACACACACACACACACAGTCACACGGAAACAAAATGCCCCCAAGATATATCAAGTCATATTATCATTTATATCAAGGTCAATCAAATATCACAGACATACACAGACACTCACATACACACACTCTCGTCATAACTCACAGACACACATAACCTACGCTCAACTGTTCAATACCATACATACGCACACACACACACTCGTCATAACTCACAGACACGTATAACCTACGCTCAACTGTTCAATACCATACACACGCACACACACACACACTCGTCATAACCCACAGACACACATAAGCTACGCTCAACTGTTCAATACCGTACACACGCACACACACACTCGTCGTAAAACTCATACAAACAGACCTACGCTCAGCTGTTCAATAATGCTCACACATACACACACACACACACACACACACATAAAGATATGAACGTTGAGAAATCGATACCCTCCTAATTCACCAGGGACCGACTAATTATTTTTGTTGCTACACGACATTAAATAAATCGCATGGCAAATACCTCCTGTCATATCTCAAATACTCATCTACTTATTAGATAACTAATGACTACACGGAATTGTGTTTTGTTTCAATCGATTTTGGGATTCATGAACACCAAAGAAGTATTATTACAAACTGTATAAGAATACACTTTTAACAAAGTAGGTTTTACTCACTAAGTCATAGAGTAACCGAGAAACATAATTTACAGAAATATATATTTGTTCGATATATAGTTTAATACTTCGAAAAAGTTTTATTTTCTCTTTAATCTATTTCTAAACAAACTTAAAGGAGCAGGCATTTTTTACTATGTTCACACATTTGTCAAAACAAAGACCTAATTTTAACAATTGACTTTCAATCTAAGACTTAAGATTTCACAAAGATAAGCTGTACACTATTCGCGTTGTTTGGTTCTTTGTAATTAAAATACTACTTAGACTGATCTGCTAAAACTGCTACACAGTGTTAAGACTTGTAGGTGTTCAGGTAAAGAAAGCTCGTTTAAATACCATACAATTTAGATAACGGTTATAACGGATATAGGCCTAGATTGTTGTAAATCATTAAAAAATAATGTTTAGGACAAAATAAACACGTTTTAAAAACCCCTATGCACTTTCTATATAATAGTAAGTGTCTCATATTGTGACAGTTATAGTCGTTTCTTGAACTCTCTCTATCAATTACAAAGTTCATTTTTTTCTTCGGTTTTAACATTGTAATTTTATGATCATATAGTCAGGATATGAGAGAGACGTGGGATTACAGAGCAGTTGACCCAATCTCTGGGAACTACTACCCCGTGACAAGCAGGATATACATACAGGTCAGTTGTTACATATAGGATATACATACAGGTCAGTTGTTACATACATGGTACATTAACTTGTGGATTGTTACATACATGGTACATACTTGTGAATTGTTACATACATGGTACATACTTGTGAATTGTTACATACATGGTACATACTTGTGAATTGTTACATACATGGTACATACTTGTGAATTGTTACATACATGGTACATACTTGTGAATTGTTACATACATGGTACATATACTGGTGAGTTTTTATACATAAGATATACATACAGGGGAGTTGTTACACACATGGTACATACTTGTGAATTGTTACATACATCGTACATACTTGTGAATTGTTACATACATGGTACATACTTGTGAATTGTTACATACATGGTACATACTTGTGAATTGTTACATATAGAATATACATACAGGGGAGTTGTTATATACAGGGTATACATACAGGAGAGTCGTTGCATACATGTTATACATACAGGAGAGTTGTTGCATACATGTTACACATACAGGGGGTTTGTTACATACATGGTACATATACTGGTGAATTGTTACATATAGGATATACATACAGGGGAGCTGTTATATACAGGATATACGTACCGGGGAGTTGTTGCATAAATGATATACATAGAGGCTAGTTGTTGTATATAGGATATACATACAGGTGCGTTGTCAAGTACAGGATATAGGCCTACATACAGATGAATTGTATCATACAGCATACATAGGTGTGATTTGTCACATACAGGATATACATACGGGTGGATTGTTACAAGCTAGTTATAATGTAATACCAGGCTCAAAAGTCAAAGGTGATCACCCGAAATTGGTATCATCATAGCAACTAATTCGATGACTAGCTAAGGCATGATTTATGTAAACGAAGGAAACGTTTGAAATGGCATACACATGTTAACAACAACGACTGCACGTTGGGTTTTCAAGGCGTTAAGCCAGAGTTTAGATTTGTGCACGAAAAGTCTTTGAGTTGAACGACACGGTGGGATGGTAGAGCTGTCGACTGCTAAACCCGAAAGACTCGAGTTCCGATACCAAGCTCCAGTCCGTAGGTCATCCCTGAGTTCACCTAACTCTGATTGGTATCTAATAGGGAAAGTAAAGGCAGCTGGGAATAGCGCTGACCACACTATTCTTTCATAGAATCATGCGAACTCTACTTCATCTGATTGCTTGATAGCCCAAGCTACACACTAGGTAAGGAAAGAAAATACCCGTTCATACACTTAAGTGAACGCTACTTCATCTGCGCAAGTGATCGTTAGGTCCGAAATGTTAACTTTACATAATTTAATTGTACAATTACACCTGTTAAAATACATGTTTTCGCGTCACAACCCCCCCCCCCCTCCCCCAACCTCACATAACCCTAGCCACACGCCACACACTAGGTAAGAAAAGAAAAAACAGCGTATCTGTGATTCTGTTTTCATTGAGAAAATCGATACACCTAATCGATATCCATTTAAAGGACAGGAGAAAAGATGTCCAGTTGTCTGTAGTCACAGACCGGCCCCAGGGCGGGACAAGTCTCGGCACGGGTCTCCTGGAACTCATGGTACGTTGGAACCAGTAGACAGACTCGGTCAAGGTCGTTGAGTTTTAGAAATCAGATGAGCGGGTTTTAAATGATTACATTTTATACAGTAAAAATATTTAGCTTTGTTTAAAGGCGTGAATTATTCAAGTTGTATAAAATGTTTGATTTAATGTTATACTTTAAATATTATAATGTGTACATAATTTCAGAAATTTAATTTAATTTTTTAAATATAAGATGTGTCTTACTCTTATTTTTTTCAGCCAATTCATAAAATAGTTTTTTTTTTAATTGCCAAATGATAAATAATTGCGTATTGTCAATATAATGTGTTATTGTTTATGTTAAATGATCTGTTTCTGCAAAGTTTTCATTGGGTTCGATTTTATGAACTGTAAAATAAACGTTTAGCCATGGTGCCATTTTTAAATTTATCGTGAACACCTTATAAAAAATATTTAAATACTTGTAAACATAATTACTTTTACTTTTACTGAGACGTCCTGTTATCGATCTCAGAACATTGATTTTCACGACAATGTTTTTATTTTATCATGTACCAGGTCCACAGACGTCTGTTACGTGATGATGGTCTGGGGGTCGATGAACCGTTAAACGATGAAGGTGTCGACAGAAATGGAATCATCTTCACAGGTAGAAATTGCCATTTTTATTTTTTTTTAAATCTCTGTTCCACCGCGTGTTGTGTTGTATTGTGTGTGTACACCTGGTTGTCTGTTTCTACTGTTGCCTGTTTCTACTGTTTCCTGTTTCTACTGTTGCCTGTTTCTACTGTTGCCTGTTTCTACTGTTATCTGTTTCTACTGTTGTCTGTTTCTACCGTTGTCTGTTTCTACTGTTATCTGTTTCTACCGTTGTCTGTTTCTACTGTTGCCTGTTTCTACTGTTGCCTGTTTCTACTGTTGTCTGTTTCTACTGTTGCCTGTTTCTACTGTTGTCTGTTTCTACTGTTGTCTGTTTCTACCGTTGTTTGTTTCTACTGTTGTCTGTTTCTACCGTTGTCTGTTTCTACTGTTGCCTGTTTCTACTGTTGCCTGTTTCTGTCTGCTTCTTTTGCGTATTTTTCCATTGCTCCTATCTCTAAAACAAATCTGTTTATAATTTACCTAATTTAAGAGTGTTCGCCTTTATGTTACTTGAATTTGTTGACTTTTTCCTACGCTGTATGCGCCTAAATTTTTCGGTGTATTTCTTCCTGTTTCTTATGTGATTAAATGGTTCTAATGTTACTTGCCTCATTGCCTTTTTCAAATAGTGCGTGTCTCTAATACTATTGTGTCTGATTCCCGTTTCTTAATTTAGCTGTTTCTAGTGTTATTTAAATCTGTTGAATTTTTTTTATTATTTATGATTTTTAAAGTTAGTTGTTGTTCCCACGGTCGCCATACTCTACCTCAGTTTTATGCTACTTGTTTTACCTCAGTTCTAATGCTACTTGTTTTACCTCAGTTCTAATGCTACTTGTTTTACCTCAGTTCTAACGCTACTTGTATTACCTCAGTTCTAATGCTACTTGCATTACCTCAGTTCTAATGCTACTTGTATTACCTCACTTTTAAAGCTACTTGTTTTCCCCCATTTTTAATGCCACTTGTTTTACCTCACTTTTAATGCCACTTGTTTTACCTCACTTTTAATACTACTTGTTTTACCTCAGTACTATGCTACTTGTGTTACCTCACTTTTAATGCTACTTGTTTTACCTCAGTACTAACGCTACTTGTCTTACCTCACTTTTAATGCTACTTGTATTACCTCAGTCCTAATGCTACTTGTTTTACCTCACTTTGACTGTTCCTTGTATTACCACGATCACCTTGCCCTACCTCAGGTAAACATTACGTCGTGCTAGACACCATAGCCAACTCAGCCAAACTCCTCAGACACCTGGCACTGCAGGTACATCTGGAACCAACCGTCATGTTCACCCCGGTAACTGACAAAAAACCTGGCTACAAGATGATGCAGCAGGTGAGTGCGCGTCTTTAGACCTCCAGTGCTCACACTCTAGAGCTGTCCTGATGCAGCTCAATGCAGAAGGCTCTACCGGTAGAGGGTTACTGGTCTTGGGAAATCAGCTGAGGAAATAGGGATGTATTCACGTCGATTGTGTTTGTTGCGTACCGGACTATAACTTTGCAGTCCGGATGCCTTGTCGCCGGCCTAATACGTTGCTGACACTGCCTCGGGCACTAGCCAATAAGGCCGTCGTTTGTTGGCTTGGGGCAACTTCTAATGAAGCAGTATGTACGAGACTACTAATTCCAGAAGACCTAAATGAAGCAATATATATATATATATATATATATATATATATATATATATATATATATATATATATATATATATGTATATATATATATATATATATATATATATATATATATATATGTATATGTATATATATATATATATATATATATATATATATATATATATATATATATATATATATGTATATATATATATATATGTATATATATATATATATATATATATATATATATATATATATATATATATATATATATATATATATATATATATATATATATATATGTATATATATATATTTATATATATACTAGCCGTCCCGGCCAGGCCCTGCTCTGGCTTCTGTGAAAAACCTTTCTGTTAAAGACCATTACCTGTGTGTTTAGTAATCATCATAAACCCGGCATTGCCCACCCAAACCACAACCAACCAAAACAACAAAACGCAAACATAACGCTAACACAATTACAAATACAAACGAAAACAAAAATCTAACAACAAACCCAACCACAACCACAAACACTAATACAAACACAAAGAAAAAACAAACAAAAAAGCAAACGAAAACAAAAACCTAACAACAACCCCAACCACAAACACCAATACCAACAAAAAAAAAAAAAAACGAAAAAGCAAACGAAAACAAACCAAATCCAAACGCAAAACCAACCAAAAACACAAATACAAACCCAAACAAAAAAACACAAACAAAAACGAAAAAAGAAAGAAAAAAACGAACAAAATCAAAACGCAACCACTAACGCAAACCCACCTAAACACAAAGAAAACACTAACGCGAACATAAACGCCCGGGGCGGAATCACCTGTTTTAGCTTAATGAACGACTATAGTACCCCAACTTATTCATAGTCTTTTGCACTCACTTAAACGAACGCGCCTGTTTCAATTTAATGAACAATTTTAATACTCCAAGCTTATCCGTAAAATACCTACAACATTTGCACTTGATCAATCCCCGCTAATTATGTAATTATTTTTTTTTCCCAACACCAAAACAAAGTAATTAAAAAGTAAATTATTTTCCACAAAATGCAATGGTTTTATAAAGGGAAGTAATTTTGTTTTCCTAATTTATCAAAGGGAAGTAAGTGCTATAGGACTAAATAAAGACATAATTAGAATTTTTGTAAAAGATGATATTTTTTTAAACTTGTGTTTAATGAACATGCCGACAATTATTACTTTAATTTGAAAAATGAAAATTATTTCCCAACACTTTCAATAGTGATTTTTTTTTAGCTCATAAATTTAGACAAATGCGCACGATAATTTTCTAACACTTAAATTCATCCAAGACCAACGACAAACATGCATTACATACAGAACTGAGCTTTATATATTAGATATATATATATATATATTTAATTATATATAAGAGTAATAAATTGCCAAAGAATGGGTATAATGGGGAAAAAAATCAGGCGATTACCTAATTACAGTACCCCTTTCAAACTCGGCGGTCAATGTAGCAAGTGAAGTAGAGTTCTCATGTTGATGTGACCTCGGCATATGACGGGATAGTGTGGTCAGCACTATGCCCAGCCAGCTAGGTTTCCTTATTGTGAGTCAGGCACCAATCAGAGCTGTGCGGACGTTTTACGGACTTAACCCGGAATCGAACTCGAGACTTAAGGGTAAGCAGTATGTTGCTCTATAGTTATACCGTCGTCCCACGGTTACTTAATTACACCAAACGCTCTGTACATCAATACTAACGTGAGTAACAGCCGAACCCAGTTCCGCTGTTCTTTATTCCCTTAATATCGATAGATGATATCCTTTGTTTCTAACTTAAATCATTACCTTTTTTCTCACACGTAATGTGCCTAGCACAAAAAAAAGAAAGAAAAAAACTGACCATTAAATTGTATCCAACTCACATGTCCAACTCTCATGTAATGTGCCTATCACAGAAAAAACTGACCATGACATTTTGTCCCCAGCAAACATTTCTCACCAACCCTCTGCCAGATAATGTCCACATTCTGACCCTGGACAGGATCTCTGCTAACGAGACCAATTTCTATCTGCTGCGTCTAGAGCACGTGTACGAAGCAGACGGTCCCCCAGAGTCGTCTGCCCCTGCTCACGTGACCCTTGAGGTGGGTTGTCTATGTCTAAAGCCTTTGTTTTATTGATGTATTGTATAGGATGACACGATCTGTTTGCATCAAGTTATTTTTAAGTAAAAGGGAAACAACGTTTTCAAAATCGTCTTTGGGATTTAGTTTGGATTATTTCCCATGCATGAACCGTTCATGATTTTTCTCGCCAACCTGAGTTCAAAATAATCTGGACCTACTTCTGTCTTCTTCCTAACTCCTATACATATATATATATATATATATATATATATATATATATATATATATATATATATATATATATATATATATATATATATATATGTGTGTGTGTGTGTGTGTAAGTATGTATAAAAATATCCGTATGTGCTTGTGTGTGAATGGGTTGTGAGGGTATATGTGTGTATTTATGCTTAAATAACTTAGATAAACGAGCACATTAGAAAGGAATAACCCATTATGTCAATAAGTGACCCCCCCCCCCCCTTTCTCTCTCCGACTAAGCCAAGTCCCGTGATATTGTGTTGCAATGTTTATTGAATAGACGGGTGTACATGGGAACTTAGCCTGGCTTTGTGTTGCACACGTCCTGTATTCAACCTACTTGTCCACATCACGTAGACATAGACACCAAGCATTGGCCAATAGCAACACGTCTATTGAATTTAGGCTAGTTGCACCTACTGCGCAATACCGTCTTATATTTTCTACTTGACAGGGTGCGAAATTGCACGAATGATTGAATAAACGAACATGTCGATTTAAAAAGGTTTGCTTTGAGAAGATTTCCTTCCTGCATAATTAAAACAGTCTAGAGAAACTGTTTTAACAGTAAAACAAATGAAGCCAAGCTACTTGGTGTTATCAACGGCTGCCATCGCCTCCTATTCAGACATTGATTACTTTTAAGCGAACACTCCTCACAGTAATACAACTTTTAATTCTGGCAATAAAATAAGTAGGCCTATAGTTAAAAAGTTCATTTCGACATATTTGCTTGGGCTATGAATGTCCCAGTCAGACTAGAGACGGATTGGTCCAATATAAATATATATATATATATATATATATATATATATATATATATATATATATATATATATATATATATATATATATATATATATATATATATATATATATATATATATATATATATATATATATATATATATATATATATATATATATATATATATATATATATATATATATGGTTCATCTAAATCTGGTCAACTCGCCGTCACGTTCAAGCTTAATTCACCCATTATACCTGCTGTAACATCACAGTTGTGAACAAAACTATCCTGGTTCACATGCACAAACCACTGCTTTACCACCTATCAAGTCACTGTGACATACGACACAGTGGTATTTTGTTAAGATTGTAAACAAAAAGTTTTTCCCTTTGCTGGAAATAGAAACCATGCCTGCAGGGTATCGTATTATCGCAGTGGGCCTATTCAGCTTTTTAAAAATTGTGTAACGGGTCCCCGAAGTTGGTGAATGCCGGTAGGTGAAGTTAGGATTAGTGCTAGG